TGGCGCCTTAAATGCTGGCGCCTTGGCGCCTTCAACGCAACGCTGGCCTTGGCGCCTTAAAACGCTGGCGTGTTGGCGCCTTAAACGCAGGCGCGTTGGCGCCTTAAACGCAGGCGCGTTGGCGCCTTAATCACTAGAGCCTTGGCGCCTTAATTGCTGGCGCCTTGGTGCCATGAGCGCTGGCGCGTTGGCGCCTTAAACGCAGGCGCGTTGGTGCCTTAATCACTGGCGCCTTGGCGCCTTAATCGCTGGCGCCTTGGCGCCTTAATCGCTGGCGCCTTGGCGCCATGAGCGCTAGCGCGTTGGCGCCTTAAACGCTGGCGCCTTGGCGACTTAAACGCTGGCGCCTTGGCGCCTTCATCGCTGGCACCTTGGTGCCTTAAACGCTGGTGCCTTGGCGCCATGAGCGCTGGCGCGTTGGCGCCTTAAACGCTGACGCCTTGGCGCCTTAATCGCTGGCGCCTTAAACGCTGGCGCCTTGGCGCCTTAAACTCTGGCGCCTTGGCGCCTTCAACGCAGGCGCCTTGGCGCCTTAGTCGCTGGCGCCTTAGCGCCTTAAACGTTGGCGCCTTAAACGTTGGCGCCTTAAACGCTGGCGCCTTGGCGCCTTGAACGCCGGCGCCTTGGCGCCTTGAACGATGGCGCCTTGGAGCCTTAATCACTGGCGCCTTGGCGCCTTAAACGCTGGCGCCCTAGCGCCTTAAACGCTGGCGACTTAACGCGTTGGCGCCTAACTCGCTGGCGTCTAACGCGCTTGCGCCTTGCAGCCTTCTGGCGGCTTGTGCGCTGCTGCCTTGTTGCGTCAGCGCGCTGGCAAATTATTGCGCACGGTCACGCGTTGCTGCAGTGAGCTCACGCGTTGCTGTAGTGAGCTCATGCCTTGCTGCAGTTAGCTCACGCGTTGCTGCAGTGAGCTCACGCGTTGCTGCAGTCAGCTCACGCGTTGCTGCAGTGAGCTCACGCGTTGCTGCAGTGAGCTCACGCGTTGCTGCAGTGAGCTCACGCGTTGCTGCAGTGAGCTCACGCGTTGCTGCAGTGAGCTCACGCGTTGCTGTAGTGAGCTCACGCGTTGCTGCACTAAGCTCATGCCTCGCTGCACTGAGCTCACGCCTCGCTGCAGTGAGCTCACGCCTCGCTGCTGTGAGCTCACGCCTTCCTGCAGTGAGCTCACGCCTTCCTGCAGTGAGCTCACGCCTTGCTGCAGTGAGCTCACGCCTTGTTGCAGTGAGCTCACGCCTTGCTGCAGTGAGCTCACGCCTTGCTGCAGTGAGCTCACGCCTTGCTGCAGTGAGCTCACGCCTTGCTGCAGTGAGCTCACGCCTTGCTGCAGTAAGCTCACGCCTTGCTGCAGTGAGCTCACGCGTTGCTGCAGTGAGCTCACGCGTTGCTGCAGTGAGCTCACGCCTTGCTGCAGTGAGCTCACGCCTTGTTGCAGTGGGCTCACGCGTTGCTACAGTGAGCTCACGCCTTTCTGCAGTGAGCTCACGCCTTGCTGCAGTGAGCTCACGCCTTGCTGCAGTGAGCTCACGTCTTGCTGCAGTGGGCTCACGCGTTGCTGCAGTGAGCTCACGCGTTGCTGCAGTGAGCTCACGCCTTGCTGCAGTGAGCTCACGCCTTGCTGCAGTGAGCTCACGCCTTGCTGCAGTGAGCTCACGCGTTGCTGCAGTGAGCTCACGCCTTGCTGCCGTGTGCTCAGGCCTTGCTACGGCAGCCCGCTTCTCTTCTCAGCCTGCTGGTGCCTTGCTGCAACTCTCTGGCGCCTTGTAGCATGGCGATGCCCAGCTCGTTGCTCGCTGGAGCCTTGCTGCACACCAGCGTGGTGTGCGTGACCTCAGGGGATCTATGTTTCAAACGACGCTTGTGAGTTGTCAAATTCGGTTTCTTTCGTTGCAAGATTTGCGTTTCATTTCTGCTTTGTATCAATGTTAATCGGTACTTTCATTTTGTATTTATCAGATTTCAACACGTACGTGCTTATCAAGTTCCATTTCACGATCAAGTATGTGCTCGTCATTGAGTAATTTACTGCGTTCTCCTACGACAATTCATTTTTACGTGACCTGTTTGTTTTGCAAGGTGTGCAAGACGCATTGTGGGGAGCAAGGAGGGGAATTCGAGAGAGAAGACAATGTGGAAAAGGGTGGGAGGAGATTTTGATGGTAGAGGGAGAGGAGGGAAGGCGGAAAGAGGGAGGAAGGGGGGACAAGCTAGAAGTGATTAAAGCATAATGAATTGATTGCAACTCCTCGTTATGCTTGCCTGCTCTCAATCCTAATTGTGTATGCATGCGTGTGCGGGTCAGTTCGTGCGGGTCAGTTTGTGCGGGTCAGTTTGTGCGGGTGTGTTCATGTCAATTGGTTGTTTCACAGAGGGTTGTTGTGCTGGTATGCATCGTGTTTGTGATCTGAGGATGTCATCGTCGTTGGGGCAGCGTGTTTTCGCTGTTCCAACGACCCGATCAATCACAGTTGCAGCATTGGTGTATATTGAGCACCCACTTCGACCCGTTCACAAACGTTGCGTGGTGTTGTACCCTTCCACGAACGTTTGCATTTCTGTTTGTGGGGAGTGTGTTTCAAAGTGTGGTGTTACTATGTGTCATGTATATAATTAGAGGTTGTTAATCGTCTTTGGGGCAGCGGGTTTTCGCTGTTTCAACGACCCCATCAACCTCTATTGCTATATGGTGCATCTTAACATTCATTTTGAAGCAATCAGTCCACCTCATACCTTGTTGTTCATTTGTACAACTGCATTCGTGCATGTTGATACCAGAATATTATGCTCGGCAGTAGTACCATCCGGGTATTTATCGACGAGCTGGGACAGTCGAGCAAATTCATGGTTTCAACATGATACGTACGGTATTTGGTTTCACATATGGGGATCTCATTTGAGAGTGCTTTTATTCACTATTTGAGGCATCCGTTTGAACACAGTTCCAAACATTCAAACGTGTGCTCCAAAAAGTGCATAAAAACCACTTCTCAGATGATATCCCCAAAATGTCAAACCAAATATATAGGGTTGCTACGCAACCCAATAAATAAGTAGTAGCGAAACCGAACGATATGGATATCCCCGGTACAATGCGTCTCAACGTCCGAGTCGCGCCACAAATGCACACACCTGACAAAACCGACGAACTTTGGTCCAGGCAAAGGGGAACGCGGGGAGAGGAAAGAAACGGTGAAGGCGAGGGGAAGGGGCAGGAGAAGGACCGAGGGAGGGGGCAGTCGGGCAGAAGGCCGAAATGAGGTCGGCGGCAGCCCTGCAGCCGACCCTTCGGCGCATCCGTGCTTTCCCCTTGGTTCTCTCCGTCGTCCAGCCGACCATGCGGTGGAGCGGGGGAGGGGAGAGGAGGGGGGTTGGGTTGGGGAAGTGATGTACCACAAAGTCGTTTCGCGAGTGCGGTTGGCGTTTTGTGCGACAGGGCGAAGCCAGTCATACTCGTGAATTCGGTTACATACACACTGTCCTTCTCTCAGAAGGCACCAAAACAACCACCCTTGATAGACGACCTGTCGCAACGTCGTCGCTGCTTTCGCCTCCCTGCTTGGCGCGCTTCCAGTTTCTGTTCGCTGCATGCGTTTCCGCCCATCTGCCCAACCTTGGCAGCCTTCAGAAAAAAAAAAAGGGAAAGTACATCCCAGCTCCATAGTTTCGAAAATATCTCAAATTTAGTCCCAAGTTCACTCAGAAAGTACAGGTTTATAGATTTTTTTCGGGAAGTGATCAAACTGGGACCGAAGAGTGCCAGAGGGATGACCGAGGTAGGGCCAGAAAATCTCGACCGTAGGATTTCGACCCCGAGCTGCCCAAGAGGCTAGGCGAACAAGCCGAGCCGTGACTGGAAGAGAAATGCTACCAACACCAAACTTCGTGTCCAACTTATTGAAAAAACTGGTTACGACCGCCGTCTACTACTACGCGCACATCGCGTTCTTCTGGAAGTAAATATTGCTGTGTTAATTTGTGAGTCCAAAAACAAATTCATTATGGGTGATAAATATCACTCTCTGATCGGAAACGCGCAGAAAAAAAAAATATTACCCATTCGGAAATGGATGCGACTAGGGAGGCATCAACCCTAAACACAACGAAGGTTCCCGTTTTTAGGGTTGATCCATTCCAAAAATGCATCCAGGTTCCCCTCGGGGTTTCAGGGTTTTTGCCTGCCCTAAGGGTTTCTGGCTTGCTAAAAAACGCTATTAAGTGGAATGGTGATGAATCAGTAAATATTTCCATGAAAAATGACGCGCGAGCCGAAATGCAAAACTGTTAACGGACATACGTTCAATAAATGATAACCCTTTGCAAATACCTTTTTGTGCAGTGGTTTGGTTAGTTCCGGGCCTCTCGGCCCTCTTTCGATCACCTTCCTGGCACTGTTCGGCCCCTGTATGATCTTTCCCCGATTTTTGCCCACGCGAGGCCCAGATTATGTTCAAAACTGGTCCTGCGGGGCAAAATTTTCGACACGTGTCCTATTTTGCATTGTCATTTTTTTACGGGGGCAAAAAACGTAAAATTCCTAGGGAACCAGGTCACACTTTCGGGAGGGATCAACCCTAAACACGGGGTCCCGCTAGGTGCATGCAGCCCAATAAGTTGACTCCCATCACTCTCGCCGTCGCCCACGCGTGCCTGATTTTGCCCTCAAAGCAACGCGTCCTAGCATCGTACGTCAGTCGACCAGCGTGGAAGCCAAATGGAATCGAAGAGCTGCTTGACGAGAGTAGTGCCTTAGCGTCCCATCTCATTCCAAACATCGCATGCACTGGCAGTCCGTACAAGTAGTGCCTTAGCGTCGCGCCTCGCCGTGTCTTCTGCCCGTCCTGCGCAGTCCATGCCCGTCGCTGCCCTCCCCACGCCGATCCGCGCGCGCCCATGCCGACTGCCCCATCGTCGCAACCCCGTCGCTGATGCTCGTCGCACAAGGGTGGGCGATCGCTCCCTGCCGTCGCAGCCATGGTCGTCGCGAGCGCCCGTCCGACATCATGCTGCGCTCCGCGCCATCGCCTAGAAACCAATCCTTAGTCGCGCGCTCGCGGTCCAACTTGTCGCACGGCGTCGCGACGTTGAGCCGGTCGCAGCGATCCAGCTTGCGAGCAGCCAGCGTCGTCGTCGCGCTCCTCGCGCTGCTCGCGCTCGCCTTGCCCTCTCCCTGCGCCGCGCGGCGACCGCTCGGCTTTAAAGTGCATCTACCGCCGATTGGCGTAGAGAAGAAAGGGGGTGGAAACAAGGGTGGAGGGAACAAGGGCGTTGGGAACAAAGGAGGGGGGAACAACGGCGGGGGGAACAACGGCGGGGGGAACAACGGCGGGGGAAACAACGGCGGGGGAAACAACGGAGGGGGGAACAACGGGGGCGGAGGCAAGGGTGGGGGGGACAAGAGGGGGAATAAAGGCGGCCCTGTGAAGGGCATCGGGCTTCAACCCTTATCGTGTTACTTCGCCACCAAGGTATTTCGCCACCCACGTATTTCGCCAGCACGGTACATTCGTGCGCTGTCTGGGCGTGCGCATGCGAGAGGGTCCAATTGAGCCCGTGTGCTCCCCTGCGCGTGGTCGCATGTTCATCAGCACGCATGCAACCGTCGCACGCACGCGCACATGTCGCATGCCTTGATAGCCCTTGTCGCATGGCCTCATCGCTTACTGACGCGTGACGCTCGCTGTCCACATGGCCCCGTGCTCGCACATGCCCCGTGCTCGCACATGCCGCCACGGCACATGTCATTTCCTCACCTCTCCATACCTCACCTGCCGTGTTTCAATCCCCCTACCCCCATGCACCCCCATGCGACCACAGGCGTGCGACTTCGTGTTCAACCGGTCGGCGTCGCTGGCGCCCATCCTGCCGCTCGTCGCCATGCGCCCCGACCAGCCCATCTCCGCCGCCATCCTCCACAAGTCCGCCCCACAAGCCTCAACCGCCCCCTCCTCTCCGCCTCCTTCTCGCGCGCCCCTCCTCTCCGCCTACCCCTCGCGCGCCCCTCCTCTCCGCCTCCCCTTCGCGCCCCCCTCATCTCCTCCCCTCCCTCGCGTGCGCGCACGAACGCACCACTCTCTCTTACCCACATCCTCATGCATTCACTCTCGGTCTTTCTTACATCCCCTCTGACACTCATGCACTCACCCCCACGCATATACACCCATCACACTCACTGGCCCTCCCACTCACTCGCACACTCGCCGTGTTCTCCCCCCCGTACCCCCCACCCCACGTGCACCGTGGCCATGGCATGGCATGGCAGGGCGGGCAGTCGCCCCGTGGTGTCCGCGTCTCTGCAGACCTGCCGCGCCCTCAACACCCTTGCTGTCAGTCGCCCTCGCCTACCTGCCTTTCCCATGCCACATCGCGCCACCATCCCCACATCGCGCCACCATCCCCACATAGCCGTGCTGCCCCCCATCACATTCTCACATTGCGCATTCCTCCCTGCGCTCTCTCTTCCCCACACACCTCTTCCCCACACACCTCTTCCCCACACACCTGTTTCCCACATCTTGATTTCCGCACTCCTCTCCTCACCCCTGCTCCACCACCCTCGTACTCTCCACCACCCTCGTACTCTCCACCACCCTCCACTCCCACTGCTCCCTTGGTACCCGCCTCACTTCCACGACCCCCCGCTCACCCGCTGCCTGCCACGCTCTCTCTCCCCCTCTCCCCTGCGGGGCGCCATGGCCATGGTCCATGTGTGCAGCTGCGCCTGCCGTCGTGTCCGGCCTTCTCCTTGGTCTCCCCATCTGCTTCCAGCAATGGCGTGCGCATCGCCGGCAAGGCCCTCTCGCTGCTGCAGCTCGCTGTGAGTCAGTGCAGTTGATCACTCGTGCCACTCATACCACTCGTGCCACTCATACCACTCATCCGTGCCAGTCAATGCAGTCAAGTCAACCACCGTTGCCTGGCCTAACTCTCTCCAATCGCCCTTGCCTGCATGGGCGCTCGTGCCTGTGTGCGGCGCGGGCAGCAATACAGTGGGGCGTGCTTCACACTCGAGTTTGCCCAGATGATGGTCAAGGTGGGCAGTGGCCCACGTGGCATGACGCGATTGGTCCGTGGCGATGGCAATGCGGAGTTCCCTGAGGTCAGTGCCCTATGCTGCCCATTTTATCGCCCCTTCATTGCCCCCTCCGCTGCCCCCTCCATTGCCCCGCACGCTGCCCCCTCCGCCCCTACCCATTGCTCCCCTCGTGACCCATGCTGTCAAAACCTTGAGCATCGTGCTTTCTTGTTTTCATCGCCCCACTGCCCCTGCACGCACTGCCTGCTCTGCACGCACTGCCTGCTCTTCACGCACTGCCTGCTCTGCACGCACTGCCTGCTCTGCACGTAAGTACCACAGAGATTGATTGTTGTTGTATCCTCGCACTCGTACTTTCAGGCTGGTTGACCCACCTCGTCTCGCCCGTGTATGTGCCACTGTCTGTTTCCATCTCTGTCCATGCATGCATGCACCTGTGTGTCTGTATGGTGTGTGCTGTGCACGTGTGCCTCTCTGTGTGCTGCATGCCTCTTGCCCATCATCAGAATCGCCGCTGTATTGTCTTCCGCGCTCTCTGAAGCCGACTGAACCTGCTTCTCTGCTGCTGTTCCGATGTCGCTGCTTTGGTGCCACCTGCCTCGCACATGCTTTGGTGCCACCTGCCTCGCACATGCTTTGGTGCCACCTGCCTCGCACATGCTTTGGTGCCACCTGCCTCGCACATGCTTTGGTGCCACCTGCCTCGCACATGCTTTGGTGCCACCTGCCTCGCACATGCTTTGGTGCCACCTGCCTCGCACATGCCTGCCTCGCACATGCTTTGGTGCCACCTGCCTCGCACATGCCAAATTCACTAACTGCCTCGCTCCCTCGCTCACACACCCCTTCACTAAGAACCATCTCGCTCCAAAGCGCCACATGCAGCAGCGGCATGGTGCGAGGCAGCCATGCGGGAGAGCAGGGGCGTGCATGAAGCACCTGAGGGTCTACGGTTGGCACCACATGGACGCACCGTTTTTACCCCGAGTGCTCTCTGGCCACCACCAGCCTGCGCCGGTGTGCTGCACAGCCCTCGTCACTGGCCCTTGTCTGCCGCGCTGTTTGTACCTATGCCCTTGTCTGCACATCACTGGTCGAGCCAAGTCGTGTGGGCAGCTCTCTTCTCCCTTGCAGCTGTGTGGGCTCTCTCCGTGCTCCTCACACTCCACCCACTTGGGTTGCTGCAAAGCGAACCACACTAGCCTCGTGTCACTGTCACGGCCGGACTCCATCACACCCAGTCGCCGTTACCACCACCACCGCCGCCGCTATCATCACCTCCAGCTGCCCAGCAATCATTGTGCCACTTTTTTTGTGGAATGGTTTGCCCATATCTAGCTCATGCCATAAATATAACACTATATGACATGCGTGTACACATTGAACTGGTACCATCCCGTTTGTTTTCAGTTATCCAATACGGTAGTACCATACAAGTGTTAACCATTGTCAAATGTTATTATAGGTTCTTAAGCTACAGTGAGTAGCACTCTAGAGAGTACAACACTATTACGGTTGCCATTTGTTTCCCTTGTTTCCCTAGTTCATCCATCCCGTTGTGTGTGTTCCTATATGAGATGGTATCAGTTAGGTTCGTTTCCTAGCCTAGCCTAGCCCGTGTTCGCGCCCTCCGCGCCCTAGCATTCTCCGTGCCCTCCGCACTCTCCGTGCCCTCCGCGCCCTCCGCGCTCTCCGTGCCCTCCGCGACCTAGATCCCTCCGCGCCCTCCGCGCCCTAGATCCCTCCGCGGCTTCCGCGCCCTCCGCGCCCTAGCGCCCTCCGCGCCTAGCCTGCTCCTTCGCCAGCGCCCAAGCCCTAGCCCGTCGCCCCAGCCCGCGCCCTAGCCCGTCACCCTTGCCCGCACCTTAGCCCGTCGCCCCAACCCACGCCCCAGCCCGTCACCCCAGCCCGCGCCCCAGCCCGTCGCCCCAGCCCGCGACCTAACCAGTCGCCCTCGCCCGTGACCTAACCCGCGCCCTCTCCCTAGCCCCAGCCCGCGCCCTAGGCCGCGCTCTGCCCTAAGCCGCGCCCTCGCCCTAGGCCGCGACCTCGCCCTCAGCAGTGCCCTAGCCCTAGGCCGCGCCCTGCCCTGAGCCGCGCTCTGCCCTATGGACTCCCGCCGATAGAGTTCGGCACCTGGCTCCGCCAGATCCAGCGCTACCTCACCAGTCAGCGCCTCGACGGCGCCACCTTGTACGCCCACGCGTCTGGCGCCCTCCAGGCACCCCCGCGTCCCGAGCCCCTCCCTGCCGTGCCCTCACTGACTCCGGAGGCGCAGGCGGACTACGCTCGTTTCGTCTTGGCGCGGGACGTTTGGGACTCCCGTGATACTGCGGCTGCACTCGCGCAGACTGAGCTCCTTCCACCGACTGAGGCAGATCATTTCGACCTGATAGAGACTGCAAAGGTGGTGTATGATGCTACGGTATTTCTGCACGCTATTCCATCCCTTCCTCTGCCTCCCTCACCCACATCCTCATGCCGTTCGTGTTTCCCGACCTCGGCTTGTTTGCGACTGTCTCCGACCTAGCCACACACTTGCGCTCCCTTGTCGATAGCCACCGAGGAGCTTGCACTGAGGCTCAGCTTCTTGTTGCCCCTCCTCCTATCTGGCTCACCGTCCACTGTCTTGCCTCTCCACTGCCCGTGACGCACTTCTCCAGCAGCACCCCAGTGAGCTTACGATTGATTTTCTTGAGACCACTCTCAGGAAGATCGAGAGTAACTTCCTCTCCGTTGCCTCAGCCACTGACGCAGTTGCTCCTCGTCTGTTTGAGGGGTGTGCTGTCCCCCATCTTCCTACCTTCACTGCTGCTCGTCCCTTTGCTGCTGAGTCGGTCTCTGAGGACACTGCAACTGTTTCTGCTGCTGACAGGAGAAACGGGGCAAGGGAGGCAAGAAAGGGGGGAAGGGGGGTGGCGGCGGTGGAGGAGGTGGCGGTGGTGGAGGCGGCCCTGGGGGCGGCAGTGGTGGTGGTGGCGGTGGTGCACCAGGCGGAGGGAGCTCTGGAGGAGGTGCTGACCCGCATGCTGGAGGAGGTTCGCCCAGCGGTGGTGCGGGGCCCCAGCAGCAGCAGCCACAGCAGAGACAGCAGCAGCAGCAGGAACAGCAACAGTGGCAGGCACCACAGCAGTTTCAGTCGTGGGGACCCCCACTGCAATGGGGTCCGCAGCAGCACTGGGGCCCTCCGCCACAGTAAGGACTTGGAGGACCCGGGAGCACTGGCCGCAGTAGCGGCACTACCACCTAGGCCCCCCGCCCCCCGCGGCGCGACATTGGCCACTACGACCACTGGTGCGTCACCGGACCGGGCGGTCCTTGTGTCTGCGGCTGCGACGACCACTCTGCGGTGCGGTGCTTCTGCCGCCTCGACGACCTCTACCGTGCGCGCTGGGGTCTTGAGGCGACCACCCCGCGCTGGACTCGCCTGCTAGCCCGTAAGATTCATGTATTTGAATAGTCTATGGACGATGCTCGTCAGTATGCTCTGTATGCTAATGTTGACTACAGTGCTGATGGATTTGTGTGCTCGCGTGTTCGTAGTCTAGGACGCTTGCCTCCTGTTAGTGTAGACCTGTGCCTCTCTAGTCTAGGTGCTTGTGTTTCTGCTCTAGGTGCTTGTGTAGCCTCCGGACCTGACACACCTACGGCTAAGGCATCTCTGTTGTTCATGCTGGACTCTGGCGTGTCGCAGTGTTTCTTCCGCGACCACACGACCCTCACACCACTCCTTGCTCCGGTTCTGGTAGCTTTGGCTGATCCTTCTTCAGGACCAGCCGTTGCACGCAATTCCACAACCCTCCCGTGCCCTGTGGTCCCCTCTGGTGTCCTGCGCGGCCTCCACATCCCCTCGTTCACTCGGAACTAGGTGGGTGTTGGATACCTCCTGGAGAGGGGGATCACCGTTACCTTTGTTGGGGGTGGGAGGACTGCGGTCTGTACAGATGCCACTACAAGTGCTGTGAGGATCTAGGATCGAGCTCAGAAAAGAGAATTGTAATTGAATGATCACCTGGGTACAACATGAGGCTATATATAGGCTCGACACAAGGCCCCGTAACCAGGTGTTACGCGAAGGTTCCACGGGTCGCGAAGCGTCCCGAACAGATCCTTCCCGAATTCGGTAGAAGGCAATTCGGTGGCAACCGAAAAGCCAGAATTCGGTGCACGCAACCTAGCTCGGTGCTATAACTATAATAAAATATAGGAAAGCACCTAGCCTAGGAAATCAAGCAATTCATGCATGCATATAATTATCCTATGCTAGAAATAGCATGATAAAGTAAAGGCAAGCAAGCATAGCTGGCATAGGCCGTCGTACTCTCATAAGTGCTGTTCTGGCCACGTTCACCAGGGAGTCCCGCTCTGGTCTCTATGTTCTCCACACCGAGCGCTTCCCACTTGCTTCCGCTCAGGTCGCTGCGTCCCCTCAGTTCCCAGTGTCTAGTCCGGTCGCTGTGTCTGGTCAGGTAGAGGTGTTTGGTTAGGTTGCTGCGTCTTGCTCCTGCCGGTCCCTAGCCCACCTGACCGTCTTGTGGCACCACCGCCTTGGCCACCTGTCGCTCCCCCACCTCCATAGCATGGCCAGTCACAGTCTTGTCTCAGGTCTCCCGCACGTCTTTCCGTCGCTCCCTCCCTTGCTTGCCCCACCCTGCACTCCTTGCGTCGCCGGCCGCTTGCGCACCACTCTGCACTCCTCCTTCCTTCGTTCGGCCACTGCTCCCTTCCCGACTCTCCACCTGGACGTCTAGGGCCTTGCCCCTACGCTGGGACCTGAGAGGGAGCGCTATTTTCTAGTGGTCGTTGACGACTACTCCAGGTACACCACGGTGTTTCCTCTCGCGAAGAAGTCCGAGGTGAATTCTACGCTGATCCGGTGGCTTCTAGCCATTGAGGGCACTCGTGGTAGTCGTGTCCGTCGTCTCCACTCTGAACGTGGAGGTGAGTTTCGCTCCAGCGTCCTTGCCGGGTTCTGCGGCAAGCAGGGCATCAGACAGTCCTGGACGCTGCCGAAGTCCCCACAGCAGAATGGGGTTGCTGAACGCCGCATTGGCTTGGTCATGGACATTGCCCGCACGTCCATGATCCATGCCCGTGCGCCCCAGTTTCTGTGGCCCTACGCGCTGCGCTACGCCGCGCACCAGCTGAACCTCCAGCCGCGTGTCTCGCGGCCAGAGGTTTCACCGACCAGTCTTTGGACTGGGTCCCTTGGTGTTGGGTCAGAATTTCACATCTGGGGCTGCCTTGAGCTTGTCCGCGACACCTCTGCTGACAAGCTCTCGGCTCGCACCATCCCCTGTGTCTTCCTTGGTTTCCCGATGGGCTCTCCCGACTACTCCTTTTACCACCCTCCCCTCCAACGGTTTCTAGACTCTCGTGACGTCCTACTATAACTGATACCCCTGTCGAGGTCTCCCGGTTCCCCCTCCCCTCCTCTTCCTTGCACCCTCTCTTCCCCTGCTCTCGCTTCTCTGGTACCCCCACCCCCCCCTGGTTCTGCCCTGTCAGGTGTGTCTCACGCTACCCCTCTACCCTCGGTCACGCGTCAGGTAGCGTCTCCCTCCCCGCAGTCTTCCTCACAGTCTCCTCACTAGCCTTCGGCACTTCCGCGACATGTTACTGTGCACTCGGTTGGTGTTGGAGCCGGAGGTGCAGCCACTGGCGGCAGTCGGTCTGGGGGTGCTCGTTCGAGGGGTGCTGGAGCTGGAGGTGCTGGCGCAAGTGGCGCTAGCTCTGGGTGTGCTGGAGCTAGAGGTTCTGGCACTGGAGGTGCTAGTTCTAGGGGTGCTGGTGCTGGAGGTACTGGCACTGGAGGTACTGGCACTGGAGGTACTAGTTTTGGGGGTGCTGGAGCTGGAGGTGCTGGCACTAGCGGTGCTAGTTCTGGGGGTGCTAGAGCAGGAGGTGCTGGCGCTGTAGGAGCTGGTACTGAGG